TGCGCGCGCGCGCGTTCCAACCTGACGGGCAACCCGTTCGTCGCGTTGGAGCGTTAGTGCTCGCGCGGCAAATGAGCTGCGGCTGAACACGCCTGCACGTTGAGTACCTGTTCGGCCCGTTCCCCCTGCGGCAACCCCCAGGAAGCCGCCGCAGGCCGGTGCCCCGCGGGCTTTTTTTTTTCCTTTAAAAAAAAGAAATAAATAAAATAAAATGAATGCACGGGGTGGTACCCGACAACGAAGACTACCACCCCGCACCTTCACAAAACCCCCTCCCCCCCCCGAGAGCGCGAAATAACGGTTCGCGGACCTCGTTCATTCGCGTCCAACGCGCGTTTGAACGGGGATTGAACGTGAATTGAACGCGCGTTCAATTTTTTAACGCGGACCCCGCGTTAAATCCATTTTCGGACACACAGACGACATGCAACAAGGAGCAGGTCGCGCTGCAAGGTACAACTGGAGTGAGTTTCAGAATCGTATCAGCATTCAGGGACTTATTTGGCCCCCCCCATTCCGGGGGGTGAAGAGATACAAGGGCCAGCGTCTGCTTCATTACCCAGAGTACACAGACTGGGTAGCTGCTTGTTATTCCATCATGAAGTAGTATCAGAGCTTAATGGGACATCTGGCATCCCCCCGGGGGTGAAGAGATACAGGAAACAAGGGCTACACCACTATGATATACACACACCTGCTCAGTAAATCCCCTGGAGACAGGGCAATCAATGCTGGCAGGCCTCACAATCAATGTTCTCAGACATTCTCATTTTCTGTTGAAGGGACGCTGGACCCGTTTTCCAGCAGGTGATGCTCCCCGCCAATAGATGGAGCCTCTCCCTAGGTGTTAAAAAAAAAAAAAGTACCAGCTTCACCCCAGCGCGGAGGAAAGTTTTCGTCCCCGTCTCAAAATCTGGACTGGGTCGGATTACCTAATGGCAGATTTGATTAATTCCAACACGCCTCGGTGCTCACAATGTAACAGGAATGGTCACAAACCGGACGACTGTCCATTTTATGAGGCTTGCTACAGGTACGGTCACTCAACTGAAGAGTGCAGATCAGAAGACTGGAGCAGGCAAAGGAAGAATAACTTGAATTCGTACTCACAGCAGAGGTTCCCCAACACTGTGTTTCAGTCATCTTTCCCCCCAGGAGAAAAGAAAAATTCCTGGGAAAACTTCGCCTTCAAAGATAAAGACTTGCAGCAACTAGCCGGCAGGAAAACACAGCCATGGCGGAACCCAAATGCTCCCTTCCCCAGACCACGCAATGCAGGCCAACAAACACCGTTGGGGGGCGCTACACAGCACCCGCTCAACGAGCATGAACTGCAGACCCCTTCGCCCGGTATGTGGGAATGGCGCCCTATTGGATCCTCCAACGAGAAGGCTGTGCCCCTGGGCACAGGGGGAATCGCTGGGCCCTGTTTTGCGTCCGGCTCCTCTCTCCAGGCGGCTGCTCCTGCCGAGGCAGCGGAAAAAGGGAACAACCTCCAGGGGCCAGCACCAGGTAACACCCCTCTACCACTCGCAGAAGCGACTCCGGGTAATGTGCTCAACTCGACCCTCACTGGCTCGAAGGGGAAAATGACCGAGGCTACCCCCCATTCCTTCCAGGCCCCAGCCTTGCTGGGCCCAGTCACGCCAACTGCTCCGCAGGAAAGCCCCTACGTAGTGTCCCCTCTGATCTTCAAACAAACTAGCCAAACCACACTGCTTGTCCTGCAATAGAATGACAGCAACGAGCTGTTTATCCCCTCCTTCACCTCAAACACTTTTCCACACCCCAACGACTTTCTCTTCTCAGCCCGAAGATCATTGGACAAACGGTATTTCGTTCGTCCAATCCCGTCTATGCCCTGCTCGTCTGCATACAGAAAAGGCCACTCAGGTAAGCTTCACCCGATCCTCAGCATGTGCTTGGAGGCAGCACAGGCCCCAGGAACTGACCCTACAGTGGTGGACAAGGGATGGTTTTGGGCCCCTGTCGCTTGGTTCAAACAGAGCAACAACAAGGAACGCTTTTATCCTACACTGGGCGACGGAATCAAAGGGGACATAATAGCTGAATTGGACGAACACATTCCAAAGGAGCGCTCCATTTTTTCCAGATACATCCTGGAGTCCACGAAGCTCCCCTGGGATGTCCCGAGCCTAATGTCCAACCCGGGTGCAACTCCTGCACCTATCCAACACGGGCTGCAGTCAGGAGCTGCTAATGGAAGATAGGCTCTCCGTAGCCTCTTGGAACGTTCGCGGCCTTATTGACAAGAAGGGTAAACACAATCGCTCTCGTCTCAAATCCTGGATCCACTCCCACAGGATTTCAGTCATCTTGCTGCAGGAGACTAAGCTTTCAGAGGAAAGACTAGCCTCCATGCCAGCATGGTGGAGTGGACCACAGATATGGGCTCCTGCCCAAGGTACCAAGGGTGACACGGGCATTTTGCTGCACAGATCTCTCGCAACACACGTTACAGATTCTAAGACGGACCCATTGGGCCACTGGTGCTGGATCATCCTAGACATAGACAACCAATCATGGTGTTTCATGTCTGTTTATGCACCGTGTGATCACTCCATCAAATCTACCTTTCTCCTTTCCCTTTCTGGCATTATTCCAAGCACCAAATTCCTGATCATCGGTGGGGACTGAAACACTGTTCCAAATCCAGACTTGGACTCCACAACTCCCTTGGCCCACCCTGGAGAATCTGCATCTCTCAATGACCTTATGGTTGACAACGGACTCTTCGACCCACTCCGCACGATCCACCCAGATGCACGCGTCCACACATGGGTATCATCCAAACCCACAGAGAATGGAATTTTCACACGCAGACGACTGGAAATTATTTTCACAAACAATGATGCTCTGCAACTAACCAATAAAGCAGAATCAGCCACTGATCCCATGTCCGACCACATGCCGGTGTGGCTGCGCCTAAAAATGGGCACTCTAGTCTCCCGGGGTAGAGGACTCTTTCAACTGAGCCTACATGTCCTCGATGACCCTGGCGTAGTGGAATGGGTTCGGAACACGGGAAGAATGGAGAATCAATACTGCAATCTTCGAAAATGATGGACTTTGGTTGGACAAAGGGCTATCTCTCATATCCAACCAGCTTAACCTCATTTCCAGGGTTAAGGCAGTGAACAGGAAGTACGAAGAGACACAGATAAAAAGGAAAATTGAACTAATTGAGAAAAAGCCAACGGACTCTTTTTTCTCGGAACTGGTGGCCTATAAGAAAAGAGCTAGGCTTATCCAAGAATGGCAAAACATGCAGATTAGACACCACAGCCAATGGGAAACAAACAGACAGATTGAAAAAATCCTCTCCACCGATCGACTAACCAGCAAAACGGCATCCGCAATTACACACCTCCGCACCTCTACCCGCATTGCCAACCTGTCACATCCCACCGACCCCTCACAACCACAGGCAAAAGACTCTGACTCTCTGTGTGAATACGTCAGACTATTCTACGAGCACCTACTAACATCAGAAAAACCACAGGACTCCCCCATCATCCCTCCCCACCTAGAACATGCCTTATGGGACTCAACTACCCGCATCCTATCTGACATGGAATCAAACTCCCTAGACAGACCTCTCACACTCTCAGAACTTAGGGAGGCAGTTAATAGCATGGCCAAGGGCAAATGCCCCGGGCCCGACGGCATCCCAGTCGAATTCTACACTAAATTCTAGTCCCTCCTTGCACCGGACCTTCTTCGAGTGTTTAATCAAATTCTTATGGACCAACCTCTCGGCCCCCGTACAGCGGAAGGCATTATAGCACTTTTATATAAAAAAGGGGACAAGACGGATGTGAGAAATTATAGACCGATATCCCTACTCAACGTCCACGGGAAAATTCTAGCAAAAACGCTCGCTCGCCGTATCAACCCCCTGCTAACAAAACTGGTGCACCCAGACCAATCTGGATTCATACCGGGCAGACAAGTCCTGGACAACGTGATGACCATTTCCCAATCAATAGACTGGATAAGAAATCATAACTTAAATCAAACGGTTATCCTAATCGACTTCCAAAAGGCATAGGACCGGGTTAATTGGGACTTCGTACAGGCCACACTCGAAAGAGTGGGCGTGGGCCAGAATTTCCGTAAACTGGTCCGTGCCCTGTACGGCGCATCTTCAGGGAGAGTTCTTGTCAATGGCCACCCCTCATCACCATTCAAGGTTACCCGATCACTACGTCAGGGGTGCCCGCTTGCCCCTTCCCTGTTCGTCATACAACTGGAAGTCCTCCTCAATATGACCAGAAATCACCCGGACTACACCGGTCTTCAAATCTCTCCATCCTACTCTATTAAAGTATCTGCCTTAGCTGATGACCTCTCTGCTATAACGGACCGCTTCTCTCTCAGCGCTGGAACAATACCTCTCAATATACGAGCTAGCCTCCGAAATGAGAGTGAGTTGGCAAAAAATCTATCGCCCTCACCCCAAATGGGGAACCCCTGGCATATGACATAGGCATCCCTGTTAAGTCTGAATCAGAACCGGAGAGATACCTGGGTATCCAGGTTTCCTTCGGGAACCCATCGAAAGTTGAGAATACCATCATAGAAAACAGGATCAGAGATGCCTGCGCCAAGTGGTCAAAAACCCACTTCCTTTCTTTATTCGGGAGAGCAACCATCATCAACACATTTATATCCTCAAAAATCTGGTATATCCTTTCTATTAGAGCCCCCTCCCCTGAAACCTTTACTAATATCAGACGACTACTGACAAGGCTCCTATGGAAGGGCAACTCAGAGGCCCAATCAGTCATCAGCAAAATCAGTTGGAAAAAAATAACAGAAAAAAAAAAATCAGGCGGTCGAGGTATCCTCTATCCGGAGATACAAAACAGAACACTTCTTTCCAAATGGCCTATCAGGGCACTGACAACGGTAGAACAACAACCTTGGATCACCCTTGCCCAACACTCTTTAGCCAACCAATGGAAACTCTCAGATCCGGAGGCAGTTTGGGCCGCCCTGCTAATGCGTCCCTTCACCTCCAAGCCCAACACTTCCACCTGGTCCTGCATCTTGAAGGCATGGAGCAAAATGCTCCCACAGCTATTAGATGAACCCAACCCCCCCCAAGAAATACTCAACTCCCCTCTCTTTGAAAATCCCTTCATCTGTGATAAGGCTGGACTCCCCTTCTCCGTGGCCAAGGCCACAGGCAACTTTGGCCTCAAGTGGATGCAACGAGGTGTTTGGCTCATTCGTCACTTGTGGGATCAGAACTCTAAGGAATGGAAAGACATCAACAAGCTCCGCCCACATCTCGCTGGTCTACAGCATTCCGCAGCTCACCTGCAGGAGCTAACCAAGGCCATCCTCAGTGCATGGATAGCCACACTGAGGAGAACGGACCAGCCGGTTCAAGTACATCAGTGGCTACGGTCCATGACATCTGACGATTCTTGCTTCTGGGTCGAGAAGGTTAATGAGGACAACTCAGTGGAAGCTTCTGAATGGTCTCTACGGGACACGATGCTGACCCAGATCAAGCCTGCCCACCGGATCAGTGTTACAGATCTGGAGGAAATCAGGGTTCAACAAGCAGGCACAGTACAAGGCGCCCCAACCTTCCGTCCCATCATGCAAGCCGCCCCCATCGGTACATGGAAGATTGATGTTTGCAGATATGGTTGGTCCATCACGGATGCAGCAGGCAAGACCAGCAAAGTGCCAATCAAGGACTATACTTCCCAGGTGGGATATGCCATTCATTCAGAGGCCCAGACACTCCAAGCAGGCCTCAACACAACCTGGCAGAAGGGGGGGCGTCTTCCCTCAAGCTCCAGCCGCTGGGCCCCAAAGGGCTACTTTTCTTTATCCAGCTCATATCCTCGGCATTGGAAACCAAAGTGGGGGGTCTTCAGTGGATGCATCTTCACTCATGCATTCCAACTGCTCTTTGGTGCGCTGAGAGAGGAATGGACATCTCTACCCGCTGTGGGATATGCCCTCATCCGTGTCTGGAAGATTGGCTACATCTATGGTGGGAATGTGTCATCGCAAGAGGTTTCTGAACTTTCTGGGACTCTATGAACTCCTGGTGGTCAGAGGCTTACTCGTACACTGGTCTCTGGAATCAGGAATTCGTTATCACAGCGAGGTTAAGTCCACTACTTGAAAGCCATCAGATAGCAACAATTGCTCAGATATTTAGAATCAGGATATTCTGGATCCTATGGATGGCTAGAAGAGATGGACTGTTTATGAGTTCTGTGTCCTCCGTCCAGTCTGAGTTATCACGCTTTAGACATTCAATCAGACTGGACATAATGGCTGATTGGATTAAAGTCAAGCGTCAGGCAATCTCTAGAGAGGATGCCATGGACCTCTTTCGCAAAAAATGGTCATCGCCTTTTAAATGGGCAGACCTGACTGATAAGGGCAAAATCTTCTATACCGAACTTCTGTGGGATAGGCCCACACTAGGCCCAGGTTAATACTCTGTCCATCAGGCAGCCTTTCGCTGAGAGGGCCGAGCACCTATCCCCAGTATCTCCCCACCCTGTATCTAATAGTCTTCCCTAGAAGGCACTGTCCTACTCCCCACTCCCATTTAACTACTCCTCTGTATACATGGTTTTGCTTCTGTCCTCAACTCTGTTCTCTCTGTTCTTCTTCTTTGGTCCACATCGTGTTGTCTGTTCCGGGTAGACTGTGAGGACCCCGGCCTCAATCCCTGTATTTATAAGGGACGTTGGGCCCGCTTCCCAACACGTGCTGCTCCCCACGAATAGATTGGAGCTTGTGTTTCCAAAAAAAAGAAAAAAAAAGAAAAGGCATCATGAGATACTTCGCGAGGAATGTATCCCAATACCCGTTACTTGTTCATCCTCGTGAATGTGTTCGTGGACACATTTTATTGCCACGGCACATCACTATGAAGACTTACGTGAAGGAGATCGTACCAACCCATGAATTCGGGTGCACAGCTGTTCTTCATACTTTTATGCGCTATTTCAATTCATTTTAAATCAGAAAACGATCCATTCATGCAAATAAAAAAAATCACTTTGTATTTTCCAAAAAACCATAAAACTGTGTCACACGTCGTAGAATACTTCGCTAGTGGGTCCAGGCCCCTGGG